GTTTTTGAATATTTTTATTTTTTCTCTTATTTTAGTGCTTTTTTTCTTATATTTAGTACATATTAGAAAAAATTATAATTTACAGTGATATTTTTTCACATTTTCTATTTAATTTTTCTATCCACATTAATAAATATTTTTTGGCAGATGAAAATTCGACTGGCAATGACAAACCTGCGCTAGAGCTCAACAACAAAGCAGGCGAAATATTTCAAACAATTGATATGAAAGAAAGTAAGTTAATTCCATTTCAAAACAAAAAATACTTACATTTTAATGCAAAAAAATAAAATATTTAACAGACGATGACCGCGAACGAAGTAAAATCAACGAAGATTCGGAAGTTAGTCGACTCTTTGGCACAAAACAAGATTGCATTAATCGTTGTCTGAAATGTAATGATGAGGTAATTGACTGTGTTATTTAAAAGTTTGAAATTTATATTACTATTTTTACTCATTATTTCTAGAAAACCAAACAGAACATTTTATTAGCGTGTAATCTGACTTATCCGCTGCAAATAAAGGAAGGTGAGCAGTTTCATTTTGGTTCCATTCTGAAGGCCTCACTTAGTACGGAAAAGCATATACAAGCATTTTGTGAAAGTTGCAAAAAATTCTCACCCACAAAGCAAAGTGTTAAGGTGCGTTAAATTGTGATATATTTGCAAGTATTCATAAAAAAACAGTTATAAATATAACTAATTTCTAGGTTACTTGTCTTCCACAAATACTGGCAATCAATTGTGGTTTAAGCAATGAAAAAGATTTGGGATTCCTGCGAAGACAATTGAATCGCAATTTACACACACCATCCGAAAGTCCAGCAATATTGAATACAAGTAAGCCCTGTCGTTATGGTCTCAACTGTTCGCGCAGCGACTGTCATTTTGTACATCCCGATAGGTGAGTTGTCTTGCAGTTTGTCTAAAATTCAAATAAAATGTTTCCATTTCACCGTTGAATCAATAGGAAATCACCCGCTTCCAACAACGCATCCTTCCAACCCAACATATCGCCGAACGGACGTCAGAATTCATGGTTTCCCTTGAGTTTTTCAATGTCCATCAGCGAACAGGGCGAACTTAGTGTGCAAACCGAGCACAGTAATACAAAAACAGAGGAGGTAAAAACAAAAATGTCAACAGAAAGTTTTTTAGCAATATACTAAGTATCTTATTTTGTATAGCACAATCATGCGGATAATAAGGAGAATCGCAGAAGCATTCATGAAACAAACATCGAAAGTGGAAGAAAACGATTTGCAAATTGTAAGTGATTCACGTGCCCTAATCTAGCCCACATGCTTCCGGTCAAGGAACATAATAAACAGTTGCGGTATTTTCGCGGAATCCTTCTAGGAACATCAAGAGGCCTTTCCTTGACTACATTGATAACATCGATCAGTACGCCGTTCAGACTTGGGACATAACAAACTTTCGACACGCACAGACTATCACGCACATTAATAGTGAAGTAGCCACCACCTGCACCGACTCCCTCTCAGTGAATGGCGTCTTTGTTTTCAAACCATCCTTTGCAGACGAAGATCTCGAGTTGCGCCGAGAATATAGAGTGAGCCTTGCGCAACTTCGTTCTGGATACTCTAGCATCTTAAACTCTTACTTATGCAGAATAGACCCGGACGTATCAAAGATATTTCCAGCGTGCAATGAATCCCCGCATGACTCCAACCATCTCTTTGCATGCCCAATGAACCCCGCTCATCTCACACCAGTCTCTCACAAGTTGACAGTCCTTAGCCAGTTAGACCTGGCTGTTGTGAGAAAGGTCGATTATCTCCTCTCACTATGAAACGATCCCTTCGCAACAGTAAGTTTTCGGGTTAGAGTTAAGTTAGATGATTTCGGACCTTATCACCTAAGCGGGTACTAGATAACCGATCCAACAACAACAATTCGATTTAGTCACTCGGTTTTTGAGATATCGATTTGAATTTTTTCACACGTCCGTTACTCCCCAGTACAGTGAAATTATATAAACCGATCTATCAAAATCAAACCCTTTTATGTTCCTGGAGTAATTTCGAGGAATGGTCCCGAGTTACAGTCCTTCCTAAATCCGGATCTGTTCCTGTTACTTAAACCTTACTGTCATAGAAAAGGTCGATTATCCCCACTCACTATGACCCGACCGCTTCGAAACATTAGATTTCCTGGTTAAATTATGTGAGTTAGGTTAGAAGTTGACAAGCAACCCGAACCTTATCATCCATTACTTAGCAAGAAGCTAGTCATTTGTTGGAATTGCCACTAACGGACTACTAAATCAAATCCTTTTAAAAATCCGGTTCCGTTGCGATTACTTAGACCAGACTGTTTTGGGAGTAGGACTTTTCTATAACTTTTTGTTGTTGTAGCAACTGAATATGTATATCAAATTTTTCTATTGTTTCGCTATCGCTTACAATTTCTTGTTTTTGCAGCGACTACCAGCGAATCGTACCGTGAATATGCGCTGCATGCTGTGGTCTGTCAAATTGACGATGGCACCCAGAAGAACTTGGTCTCGCTGATTAATGTAAGTAAAAAATATCATATACAAAAATTGGCGTCTAGCGGCAGCAGTGGTGAAGAGCAACAGCAGTGGTACATTTTTAATGATTTCAGGTAGGTGAATATAACGGTATTTATTACATGCTACAGTTAATAATTTTGTTTTTATTTTTGTATTTTTTACAACAGCATTTCACCCGTTTCGATACAGGAGTCTGTCTGGTTCACGCTGGACTGGAAAGTGCCGTGCGTACTCTTCTACAGCAGCATAAATATGGATGTGTCGGCTATGTCGTCTGCTGCAGCAGCAGCTGCAGCCGCCAAAGGTGATATGCCAACGAACAGCACGGAAGCGGAATTACCCCAACATAACCCATTCATACAAGTAAACTAAGTGTCTCTTGCCTGTTTTATTTTTCTTTTCATATTCCACAAGACGAGAACATATCCATATACTTATTTTTTTCGTTGTTGTTTTGTTAGTATTTGCCAAAGCAGAAAAAAGAGAGAGCGAATTTCAATTACAATTTATTATTATATATAATTACACCCTTATTGCAGGATATAACAAATCCTGTACAGCTAGCGCCAGCGTCAGCGCCAAGCAGCATGGGCGATGTTATATTTAAGCCATTGCAAGCGAATGAAATGCCACAGGCAGGTGATTTGGTCGCTATGGATGCTGAATTTGTCACATTGAATCCCGAAGAGAACGAAATACGTCCGGATGGCAAAACAGCAACCATAAAACCATGTCACATGAGTGTGGCGCGTATTTCATGCATACGCGGGTAAGCGGATAAGCAGCGCTGTCGTCTCAAAAAAAAAAAAATCCATAAAATATATGTTTAAAAAAACGCACGTGCAAAGCAAAAATTTGAAGTTGCTGGCATGTAGTTGGTGTGTGCGGGCATTCCGGAAGTAAAGTGAAGACAAGTTGCAAAGCTTACAATTGGCTCAAATCAATCCCAAATACCCACCAACTATGCGTTCTGCCATAGCAGCTTCAAAATTGCCGCAACAATATTTTATGTTTTTTGATTTTTCAGTTTTTCTTTACACTAATTTCACTTTTGTTTGTTTGATTTCTTTAGTTAATAATGAGATGTAGTATTTTTTGTATTTGATTTCATTTTGTTGCTAGTTGTGTTCACAATTGATACAATTTCTTATATATGTATGTATGTTTTGTAAATACTTTTTGCATATCTTTTGTTGTTGCCACACCAGCCAAGGTCCCGATGAGGGTGTACCCTTCATGGACGATTACATATCAACGCAGGAGAAGGTTGTCGATTATCTGACGCAATTTTCGGGCATAAAACCGGGCGATTTGGATGCGAACTTCAGCAGCAAACGACTGACGGCGCTCAAAAACTCATATCAAAAGTTGAAATATTTAGTGGATACTGGTGTTATTTTTGTGGGACACGGACTGAAGAATGATTTCAGGTGTGCACATATGCTGGTTTGCTTAAATGCGTACATGTTTTTTTTTTTT